AATGTTGTTGTACTCTTGCTGTGAGCTTCATGTTCTTGTTCGGTTGAATGCTGCAACAGTTCAATTATGTTTCATTTCAGTTTTTAGCTTATTGAAAGAGAAGTTTTGAATGATTAATCGATTGGATTCGGAATGAATTCGGACGATTTGTTGCCGAGTGAAGTGGACGTGGTGGTGCTGGGTACAGGTTTACCGGAATCGATAATAGCTGGTGCATGTGCTCGATCCGGATTGAGCGTTTTACATCTAGATAGGTTGGCATTTTTTATTGGTTCAAATTTTGATAGTTTTCAAATATATCATTGCTTTATTTTTGATGCAATCTTCATTCAAGACTTAGAGGGGATGAAATGAGATCATTTTCGCCGGTTTAACTTGTTGAGCATTATATTGAAGATAACGAAGTCATTCTCGAAGCCAAATTTTGTTTTTCCATTGCGGTTGACTTATAACATCGAGAGAAATTCAAATCGTTGTCATTTCTCTGTTTTACGCCAGTTCAAACTCGATACCAGTTTAGCTGGATGATTAGAATAGAGGATTTGTCACGGATGTAATAATGATGATAATAATAGCACATTAATAAGAATGATAATAATATTGCTTTTAACAATGTCAACAATCGCCACGATCGTTAAAGGGTTTGAATATTTCAAGGAATGAATATTACGGTGGTGTATGGTCTTCGTTTAATTTACAATCCATAAATAGTTTATTTGAAAATTTGTCTTCAACGACGGCATTGAATCAGGATGTTGATAATGAAATAGACATAAAGAATATCGAGTTGAATGAAGGTGAAGAAGCGTTGGCGATTGGACAGTATCAACCCATTCAAAACGTTCATTTACAATGGCATATTACGTTCGTTCAGTTCATTTTTGATGAATAAACATTCATAGTCGTTACTTTCTTGAATAAAAATGATCGAATGATCGTTAAATCTATTACTTCGCTCTCAGTTCCGATTCATCACTCACGAAAAGTGCATTGTTCGTCTGATGGTCTCAAACTGTGGTGCTCGCATTTACTGGTCATTAATTAATTCATGAATACCTCACTGAAACTGTGAAGAAAAGCACTTTAAGTTATAATCGTCAAGGGTAAAGTTTTCATAATTTTTTAAAAATCATTTCTGCGCATGAAAAAGCTTTGATTGCCTTCATAAAGTAGAATTAAATTGGTTCAGAGAAGCGGACGCAACGGAAAGTGAACAAAATGGATCAATTGAAAGTGATAAGTCAATAAGAAGTGATTTGGAGAAGAATTGGCGACGATTCAGTATCGATTTGCTACCGAAGGTTCGATTTTCAGATGAATCACAAAATGGTTGGATGTGAGAGTAAATGCGTTGTGCATCATTTAATTCCTTTTATGTATCATTACCTCATGTGAAGAACATGAACATTGCAGTTACTTGTGAGAAATGCATCGTTTTGCGTTTGATAAACTTCTAAAAATGTCT